AATCAAAATCAAAAGTCATAAATCATTATATGACTGTATGAACCACATTTTGAATCATAGTATGTTTGATTGCATCTATGAATAGATAAGTTCTCTTGGTGTAATGTAACACATTCATGCTAACCCATGGAAGTTGCTGTGTCAAAGCAGCAGAGTCCAGTCTATTAAAGATGCTTCTCACTATATGCAAATAAAAAATATCAGATCAAAGACAATATTAAGCTCGTCTAAACAATGAATGCAGTACATGAATAATAAAGGAATTGAAAATATTTATTTCTTCATTTTTTTAACATATAAACACATTCTACATATGAGTCATTTGATTTATAGACAAATAACCATGGCTCTACATTATTTTACAAATAAAATAACTATAAATTTGATTTATTTCAGCATATTTGTGTTCACGCAACAATGTGTTCCAGAGCCCATGTCCACTCAAGAGAATGTTAAAGAGCCCACACAAATGTCTACTCAGTCAACACAGACAGATATGTCCATGGCAGATATGGTTATGTTTGATGAGATCAAACTTCTAAAAAGAAAGCTTGTTGTGGAAGATATTTTGAAAAATGACAAATCGTCAAAATTTTATACTGGGCTTTCATTGTTAAAGTTAAAACTAGTTTTTCAATTCATAAAGGAGAGGGCAAAAAGGTTAAACTACTGGAAGGGAGCAAGAACCAAAGAAGAGGGCAGTTGGGCTAAAGGTCGGAAGAGGGAGCTTTCCACTTTTGAGGAATTTGTTATGGTCCTTATGAGGCTAAGGTTAGGAACATCTGGTAACCACTTAGCCGACATCTTTGCAGTTTCACCTACATTGATAAGCAGAACCTTTTCCACTTGGATTAATTTTTTATATTTTGAATTGAAAGGGTTCATTAGATGGCCCAGCAAGGAGGAAATTCGAAGAACCCTTCCCAAATCCTTTTTACAATTCCCTAACACACGCACAGTTATTGATGGAATGGAAATCTTTGTACAAAAGCCGAGTAGAACAAAAGCTCAAAAAGCCACCTGGTCTTCATATAAACATCACAATACATATAAAGCTTTATTGGGAATTACGCCTACAGGCGCTTTTAACTTTTGTTCAAACTTTTGGTCAGGCAATATAAGTGACAAAAAGCTTACTGAGCGTTCTGGACTACTTCACAAGCTTGAAAGAGGTGATGATGTGATGGCTGACCGTGGTTTTCAAATTAGAGATATTCTAGCCATGCATGGAGCTACACTCAATATCCCTCCATTTGCAAATGGTAAACCTTTGTCAACTAATGCTGTCACAAAGACAAGACGTATAGCAAGAGTGAGAGTTCATGTGGAACGTGCTATTGGACGTCTCAAAAATTTCAAAATTCTGGCAAATATAATGTCTTTGAAACTAAAGGATGTTTCCAACCAGATTTTGACAGTTTGTGCTTCACTTTGTAATTTGGATAAAGTACTTGTAAAAAAGTAACGTAAATAGAAATGTACATTACATTATAAAGTTAATATAGCTGCATACTTCTCATATTGCGTGGAAATTTCATGCTACTCCACATGCCATATTCCATTCCTAATCCTTATTGTGAAGGCAGATCATTTACAGGTAAACTTTTTCTAGGAATTCTGAATTTTCAATGAAAATTTTTATTTTCCATGGGAAACTTGAAAGTTTCAGGCAGCTGGGAATATGCAGCCTTGATGTATCATATTGATACAGTTTGTACAAGATATGCATTTTCATTCTAAGAAAATCAACATTGACCAGAATAATCTAGTCAATTTGTAAGAGGCCGGGTCAATATTTCAATGTCCATCAAAACATGTAATTACTTACGTTAGGGGGAGGTAAAGCTCTATTTGATTAGGTGATCAAATTTTATCACCTGCAATGGTACTGTATGATCATTAGATGCACAACGGATATGTAAAATAATTTGAATTGAAATGTGTTGTTTGTAGCAGTAGCATATTTTGTATGCTTGGGTTGTACTGTACACTGCGCGTAAATCAACATTTTGACTTTAATAAGAAGGGGAGGGGGAGTTAAGACCTAACTAAAAACTGACGGACATTATAATATTGACCCAGCCCCTAAGAGTAGCACAGGTTTGAACCTACAGACTACTAGGTTGTATACAGGGTGAGCCAAAAAAGGTAACCTAAACAAATCTTAATAACCCAGACATCCAGTCTAAACAATATTAAGCATAAATCAACTTTGTTCAATGTTCTTTGACTCTACCAAGTTTCATTGATCTATTTCTGATGGACTCGATTAAATGGCTGTTATACAAATCTTGCTCAAACCATGAAAATCCACCGAGATCACCCAATATGGACCCCAAGAATTTTACCTTTGGAGCTTTTTAGAACATAATATTGCACATTAACAGCCATTGAAACAAGAGATTGGAAGGGAAATGATATCCATTGCACAATATATGAGTATGTAGTCAGAAATTTTGGTGTGTGTAAGTCAGCAAAGACATTTTGGGTATGTATAAAAAATGAGCATTTGGAATAGACAAATGAAACTTGAATGAAACAACATTGAACAAGGTTTAATTGTACCAGATATGACTTGAAACTCATACTGGATGACTGAGTTATTAACACTTGTTTGGGTTACCTTTTTTGCTCACCCTGTATGATTATAGTATAATGTTATTTTTACACTAGAATAGCAGGCTAATCTGCTAGCCTGTCTATTTGTTTCTGGAATTGAGAGTAACCTTTCAGTGAAGTTACATAGTTTCTAAATATTTTCTGCTCACACTATTCCGCATCATATCTATTTTTAAAGTGGCAACAAAGACTAGAGAGAGACTGAGAGTAACTTTCTAGTGCAGTTTCATAGTTACAATATTTCCTGCTCACAACATTCTAGGTAATTTTTATAGTTCAACTGTTCCTATTACTTTACTTCAAGATAATCATTTCATGTTGATGATTGCTCTTATTTTAGATAACAGATACTGAAATTTCAAAATTTACCCTGTTTGCAGAGTCTAGATAAACTGCCTGAAGACGAAGCTCTCTTTTAGGAACCAAAGTTGAAAAAATGCAAAGGGTCATGAAAGTGTTCCTTCTTTTTGAAAATATAGCCTCTATTGACATAATATACTCTCTAGTCTGTGATGTCTCTTTAAACAAGCAACATAGTAATATAAAACATATTTACAATGAGATGACAATCTAGGTCTCTATTAAAAGGAGGTTCAGTATGGCAAGTAATGTTGACACAAGGTCCCTATTCTTGATTTTACAAATTGTTTGATAGATATTTTTAGTATCCTTGATAATTTACTTGGAAGATTACATACAGTTTTGTATAAATGGGCAATGTCATATTTAAATTGAGAAAGTTCTCATCACAGTGCTCATGGTGAAAGATGTGACTGCTTCAAATCACTTGCCATACTTAACCTGGTCCTTTGCACCTAACTGTCATTCTGAAAAACAATGTTGCCTGTATTGCTAATTGCAAATCTTCCTATATTGTATTCATTTACAATTAAATAACAAATGTGGAAGCATGTATTTTTTGAAAAATGACTTTAAATCTATGCACAATTGATTGAAGAATGCTTCATCAAAAGGTACAGAGATGATCTGTATTCCGAGATCAGTGTGTATGACAAGGTCGCAGGACTTGATCTGGCATACACCCATCTGTCCTTGAATCTGGTGGTAATATTCGGACGATTTAGTGAGTATAAAGCTCCCGTCTTTGAAAATGCAGCCCTTTGAAATTGCTGCTTCCTTTGGTGGTAATTCTCTCAGGGAATAAGGACATTTTATTTCCACAAGTGTTTTTGAAGGACAGCATGAACATGATGATACAGCATCAGGGGAACAGCCAATAAAATGAGTTTGGGGGTAAATCACAAAGCCTGAATCCATCAGCTTAAAATTGTCATGGATCTTAGTGTTAATGTTGTAATATTCCTTTTTCACGATAGGTTCATTATCAAGGCCATATGCTAATGATGGAACTTTAGAAGTGTTAAATGACTGAACTGTGCAAAGGGAGTTAGTAATGCATGAGGATTTTGATTTTGATCATTGGAGATTGAATTGTTTCGGGATTGAATTCGTTTGAAATTTGAGGCTGTCAATCTTCCCATTCGTACATCTCTCCAAGCATTGGACCTTTGATTTTTGGTATTTTCCTGAATATCATTAATATTACTTTCAGAGAGGGTGGAAAATTGAATGAATTTATCATAAGTCTCATCGAGGTTAAGTTGCTCTCTAGATATTGTAGGTGGCAAATAAACTTGCTTGAATGACGCTGCTTGTGATATTACATTTTGAACATTGAAGGATTGGATCTCTGGCAGTGGATGCTGCTTGCTAGTTGTTACTTCCTCTATGTTAGATAATAGACAACACTCTGGATCTTCCTGCAAGAGAATGTCAAATTAATCTTAAAAATAAATAGTTATCATCTTCGAAATGTCTTAAAAATGAGTATATATCCAACCATTTGAAACAGACTTCACGACATTATTTAGGGTATATATATTGAATTTGTAAATCAATTTGCTTTAATTCGACCTTTAATTTTGACCTTCTTTAATAAGAATTATGTCCCCAGATTTAACATTTCAAGTGAAGTTCTTTTGTGTACCCCTTGCATATCTTCCCGCTTCCGGTAATTTCACTTCACATTTTTTTTTTAAAAAATTGAATTTTTTTTCAAAATCTTTTTTCAACATTTTTTTCAAAATTTTTTTTTCAAAATTTCTTTTTCAAATTTTCTTTTTTTGAAGATCTCGCAAACTTTAAGACCAAGAAAACGCCTAGTACCTTAAGTATGTTTTGGAATTTTGGATCTTTATAAGGTATGATGTACCTAGAAACTCAGTAGATATGAACATCTGTTATGCACGGTCGGTTTTGGATACATTTATCCTTTTGTTACATTGTTAAACAACACTTTTGTATTTCAAAAAGTTATCAATGTATTTAAAATTTAAAAGTGGAAATGCAATAAAATGACTTTGCATATGAATGATTTGTTTATTTTTACACCTTGTACTATTGAAATGGCCATATGCCCCTGAAAACTCTACTTGATATAGGATAAAGCAGTTATGTACGGTCGGTTTGGATATTGGGTTCATCCCTCGTGAGATATGCACATCTACCTTCGGTCCCTACGGTCCCTCAGGTAGATATGCATATATCCCTCTGGATAAACCCCATATCCAAAACCTCCCAGTACATAACCCTTATGTATACCTGCTTCAACCCTTCCAAAAATGTTTCAAGATTGCTTGACACAAGATTTTCCTCATCCTCCAGATTCAGCTGAAGGAATCTGTCAAGCCCCTCAGTTAAAGGTGTTCGATCTTCCATGGGGCGTGGGTCAAAGAAGTCTGTGGTTCTCAGTTTCTTTACTGGTGCCATTTCTTCATTTATTTGATTCCTGTAATTTAATGGATTTTTGATACAATAAATTACATTGACAACATTACACCATTTTGTGTTACTTACAATTTACAAGTGTATACAGAACTTTTTTTAAGCATACTGCAGTGAAATATGTATCCTTCCCCAGACTTTCAGGAGTTGATGTAGGTTCGAACCTAAACAAAAAGTAGGATAGTTTTAGGTTCAAGCTTGATAATACATAAATTTTTAACCAAGACACATTCATATATACACATTACACTGCAAGTAGTGCAAATGCTTTGCCTAAAAAAATAAAAGTTGATCATTAAAAAAAGATTAAGATAATTGATTAAGATAATTTTTTCAAAATATGTTTTTGCAAAATTATTATACAAGCCACCTATTTTATGTTAGGGATAAACTATGAATATTTAGTTTTAGGATAAATAATCGAAGCCTCTACTTTCTGGATACCCTGTAGAATTTGATTTCCAATTAAATCTTCCCAAATAAGAGCACTTGTATCTTTGTTTCCTGGACACCCTGTAGAATTTGATTTCCAATGAAATCTTTCCAAATAAGAGCACTTGTATCTTTACTTCCTGGACACCCTGTAGAATTTAATCTTCAATGAAATCTTCCAAATTAAGAGTGCTTGTATCTTTACTACCTGGACACCCTGTAGAGTTAAAATAGAACATGATATAAAGTTCATAAAAGAAAATTAGTAGATCTATGGTTTGGTCCAATACCGCTTCTGTGAGAAGTCTATCATATGCGAATGGCACATGTACCACCCACTGAAGTTCCAGTTTGTTAACAAACTCTGAAGATGACTGCCAGGTACCACATTGACATAGCCACAGTCACCTGTCCTTTAGAAAACTTACTTGCTTTCCCTCTCATATCAATGGTGTCAATGGATTATTTAGTTTGATGAAGAAGAGAAATAACACAAAAAAACTCGAACAGCGACAAAAGTAACTTACAATTCACTTAGGGGAGGCATCAAAGGTTCAATGTCTGTTTAAAAATTCAACTACAAGTAATTCAGATTGACCTTTTTTTCTTGACTCCCTTAAAACTTAATTCTTAAAATATTGACAATCAGGGCAGAGAATTGAAGTGAGAAAACAAACTGGCAAAACTCAATTAAAGCCCAATATATGATGGAAATCAGTAAGATTCAGCAACATTTATACAAGAATGATGGTAAGTATTTAACCCATGTTTTTACGGATAGAAAACTTTTCAGTATTGAAACCTCACCAACCCAAATGTTTTAGCTAAGTTTCTAAACAGACATTGATATTTTGATGACTCATGTATCAACTTGTTGAACCAGCAACAATAAATGCCCAGTATACCTCTTGGACTTTGATGAAAGTTCCAATTTTACAATTGGAACTGGGGCA